AACAATTCAGGATTCCCCTTCAAGTTATTCTCTACAACACACAGTGCAGGAAGAAAGCTATCTTTTTAAAGGGCAGGATTGGAGACAGCCAGTTGTTGAATCTGGAAAGTTCTGATTGACGTTTAGATGGGATGGATACTCACTATACCATCTAGGAAACTTCATGTAGGAAAGACCTTCAAAAGTGATTTTTTCATTAGAAACCATCTGTGAGTCCAGGAAGAAGTGACTGATTTGCAGCAGACAGACCTGAGGTCTTCAAATGTGTGATTCCAGAAATCACACTTTCCTTCTATCAGTTTCCAAAATACACACTTTTTTCATGTCAAAAAGTAAGTGATGTTGGGCCTCCCCTGGTGGTGCAGCGGTTGAGCACTGGGCTGAGAGGCTGCCCGCAGCCTCTGCAGCACAGGTTCGTTCCCCCCCACCCCCCCGCGAGGGTCCCCCCCCCCAAAAAAAAAAAGTAAGTGATGTTATCCTTTAGAACACTTACATATGATAGAATGGATGTAGTTTCTGTAAAGTCTCTTTGCTTTTGCATCTATTGTGCATTTGTCTAGTTTAAAGCTTATAAAATATTAACTTGGAGTTGGTTCCTCTCTCTGTACTTCCACCTAATTTCATTTAACATATTCCTGGATTGTAATGATAGTTGTACAACTCTATAAACCTACTAAAAATCATTAACTAGTACATTTAAGAATCGGTAGTTTTCATGGCATGTAGTTATATCTCAGTAAAGATGATTAGAAAAAAATAAATCAAGGTTATGAGAGCCCAAAAAGCCAGCAGTGCTTACATGGTTACAGTGGTGCCAGGTCACAGATAAGGTGACACTTGGTGGCAGACTGCCAGATGAACTAGTCCATGAGAAAATATCTGTGGTAAGAAAAGTGTGTTTCAGGGAAAGGAAAACACTTCAGCCTTTGCAGGCCTGGTGAAGAAACTGCTCCATTTCACACTCTATCTTGAGACAATAAATAAACCTCACATTATTTTAGTTTTCAACAGTGGCACATGAATTCAAGTGGCCCTCAATATCACTCTTCGGGTTCATTAAAGTGAGAAGCATGGGGCAGCCGGAGAGATGTAATCTCTTTGAGAAAAACTGTGGCATTAATACTATATATATAATCCCTATAATCCATTTCCAAAATCCATGTTTGAGGCTTTGATTTCTTTCTTTCTTTCTTTTTTTATTTATTTTTTTACAAGAGCTGGAGTATAGGCCAGAGGCACGGGAGGGTGAGGGAATTCACCAGAGGCAGAGCAGGGAGCAGAACAGGCAGATGCCAGAAATACACTGCTGAGGGGAGCAGCGGGCACAACAGAAGAGGTCTGCCCCACCATGTGGGATTCTCACAGACAGCAGGGATTGAACCCACACTGCAGAGGCTGCGGACAGCTTCACAGCGCTGCGCTTAACCCGCTGTGCCACCGGGGAGGACTGGCTTTGATTTCTTAAATCAGTACAGACATGAGAAAAAAAAATTATTTACCGTCTTTGTATAGTTACCTACTTTATTGATGCTGTTTCTTCCTAAGGATTTCAATTACTGCCAGATGTCACTTCCTTTCAGCCTGAAGCACTTCCTTTATTATTTCCTGAAAAACATGTCTGCTAGTGATGAATTATCTTAGCTTTTGTTTATATGGGAGCATCCTCATTTTTGAAAAATCGTTTGCTGGATATAGGAATCTTGGCTGATAGTTGTTTTTACTTTCAGTATTTTTAATATATCATCTTGCTCAGATAGTCATAAAATCTTGGGCCTCCCTGGTGGCACAAGGGGTAAATACACAAGCTATGAAGCTGTCCGCAGCCTCTGCAGCGTGAGTTCAATTCCCGGCCAGCCAGGGCGCAACCCACATGGCACAGCAGACCTCTCCTGTCTCTACCGCTGCTCCCCTCAGCAGTGTACTTCGGTCAAGCTGCCTGTTCTGTTCCTTGCTCTGTCTCTGGTGAATCCTCTCACCCCCCACACCTCTGGCCTGTACCCCAGCTCTTGTATACATAAATAAGTAAATCTTTAAAAAAAAATCTCCATTGCTTCAGATAAAAAGTCAGCTATTGTTTTTATTGTGTTTCTCAGGTATGTGATAAATCATTTTTCTTTTCTTGCTTCCAAGATTTTTTCTTTGTCTTTAAATTTTAACACTTTGAGTAGGACATATCTAAGTATGACAGATATGTCCTTTTTTGGGATGTTTCAGTTTCTTGGATGTGTAGCTGATGTTTTTAATCAAAGGTGGGAAATTTTGGGTCATGGTTTTTATAATTTTTTTTTGCTTTCTCTTTCTCTTTGTGATAGTACACTTCATGGTGTCACACAGATCTCTGCGGCTCTGATCCTTTTTCTTCATTCTGTTCTCTTTCTGTTCTTTAGATCAGATAATTTCCATTAATGTATCTTTAAATTTGTCAGTACTTTCTTCTGCTTGTTCTAATTTGCTGAATCCTTTCAGTGAATTTTTTCCCCTTTCTTTTTTTGTACTTCTCAATTTCAGATCTTTCATTTCTGTTTTTTAAAAATAATTTCCACTTGTTGATATTCTTTATATGATGGGTAATTGTCAATATACCTTTCCTTTAATGCTTTACACATGGTTTCCTTCAGTTGTTTGAAAATACTTGTGATAGTTGCTTTGAAGTCCTTGTTTTCTAAATTCAACACCTAAGTTCCTTTAAGGACAGTTTCTATTGCCTATTCCCCTATGCCCTTACATATCAACTTGGGATATATAAATACCTTATCATACCCTCAAAAGACAGGTTCACCTCACTATTAAATCCCTACCCAGTCGTCCCCTCCAAACCTTACTCAAAACAGTAGGTTGGGGGAATCACCAGTCCTCTTTTGCTCTCTGTCCCTGAGATTGCTGTTCTAACAAAGCTCTCATCAAGGGAGTCCTCTCTGTAGCAACAGCAAAGTTGCTGTTTATATGGCCTCCCCTATCCAGATTGAATTACTATGCTGACTGGAAAGGGGGCAACTCTGGGCAAGAATCAGCCACAGACCTACACTGTTTTCTTCTGACAGTTTAATTAGTTTCACAAATAAATGCTTGCCAGTTTGTTGTACAATATGTCTTACTATATGCTGAAAGGTTGGCTTTATAGTTTTATCCAGCTTCACAGTTGATTTTTGGCAAAATAACTTGTCAACCTTCTTATGTTATCATGCCAGAGTGAATCTCTACTATAGATTAATTCTGCCTATTCATGTCCTTTATATAATTGCAGACATACAGTACTGCCTCTTTTGGGCCTAGCTGCTTTTTCTCAACTTGATTTTGAGATTAACTTGACTTTGCATTTACCACTGATTTATTCTTTTTATTGCTGAATAGTATTTTTATGAATATACCACCAATCATTTTTCCATTTACCTGTTAATGGATCTTTACATTGTTTATAGTTTTGGCATTGTGGATAGCCAATGGGCACATCTTGGGGGCACATTTTGGGCACATTTTTTTCATTTGCATATAATTTTATTTTTCCAGGGAAAATGCCTGGGAGAGAGAACCCTGGATTATAGAGTAGGCCTGTTTGTGTGGTTCTAAAGTAGTCTTATGATTTTACATTCCCACCAGCAATGAAAGGATATCCTACATCTTCATTATTGGAAGTTGTTGGGGGCTTTGTTTGGTTTATTTACTTGTAATTATATTGGGTATAAAACTGTATTGTGGTTTTAACTCACATTTCTCTAATGACAAAACTGGCTGGGCATCTTTTTCATGTGCTTATTGTCCACACATATATTTTTTATTGAAGTGTTTATTGAAGCACTTAGCCCATGTGTTACCAGCTTATCTTTTTATCATTGATTTCTAGGAGTTCTTTATATAGCCTGAACATAGGTATTTTGCCAGAAAATATACTGTGTATGCTTTCCCTTGGTCTTTTGTTTATCTTTCCATTTAATTTTGATAATATCCAACTTATTCCATTTTATCTTTTTATGCTACTTTTCTTCCCTAAGAAATATTTACCTACTGCAAGGTCATAAAGATGTTTCCTATATTTTCCAGAAACTTTATAATTTTAACTTTACATTTAGATATATGATCCATCATGTATTAATTTTTGAGTGAGGTGTGAAGTGGGTGTGAGTTTAATTTTTTCCCCAAGTGTGAGAAACTCTTGAGAATGCTTTAGAAGAAAAAGTATCTAGACCAAACTCAAACTTATTCAGGTTTCAGTTTAAAAGAAATTTGCAAGAGACTGAAAGAAGATGTATAGTTGTATCCAATTGATCATTGTTTCGAAGACTTCCTTCCTCTCTGACTTGCATTGGTACCTTTGTAAAGAGTTAATTGGTTCTATGACTGTGAAAACAAACTGAAATGGTAATTTGAGTCTGAAGAATGAAGCAGGCATATCCATTAATCACACTTTGAGCTTCTTGAGGGCAATTTACTACAAGGGGCCCTTCACGCTGGAGAAAGTGGAGAGGACTTTGGTTTCAGGAAGGATATATGTCACCCACCCCTGACAGAGGTTTTCTGTATCCTGCTTAGTACATATGATCTTTCTTGTGTGAAATTAATAATGCCAGGTGTTTGGGAGCCATGTCATGTGTGTCTTTGGCCTACTAAGATCAATAGAATTGTGTATAGATCCTGAGTACTGATTAATACACATGAAGGAAACAACAGGGAAATTGGCTAGCTTCCCAGGACAGGGATATTACCAGTCATAATTCTCAGCTGGCAGGGATACAAGATGGAGTCACTTTGGTTACTCCAAGATGGAGATTTTTGGTTTTCTCTACATTGAGCATATGTCTGTGATTCTATTTTGGAAATCTGTCCTACCCAATTGATCTAATTGTCTGTATGTATTGCCAAACCTCATAGTCATTACTGGACCTTTAGAAGGGAATTTTTTTTTTTTAGAAGGTAGTGCAAGTTCTCCATCTTTGCTCTTCTCTAGACTAAGTTTGAGAGCTTTCCAATGAGAGATGTTGAGAGTATCATCTAGTGAGGGAGCAGAGAATAGACATATTCACAAGACCTTTAGAATTCTTACTCTGAGAGAGAGTTATGTCTGAATTGGAGACAGAGGCATAGACTAGGACACAAAAATAAAAGACAAATAGACTTAGATATGGAGAAAGAGAGAAACAAAGATATTCAGAAACAGGAGGAGATTGAGAAACAAAAAGAGAGACAAAAAATAGAGAATGAGAGAAAGAGAGGGGCACAGTGAGAAGCTGTGACAGTTGTCTGAGGTCCAAAGAGAGACCAGGTGCCCAACCCAGTAGCTAAGCAGAATTTTACCTGGGAAATGATTATTAGCAGGGGAGGGCATAAACATGAGGGTCTATATTTCTTTGACAATGGACATTCAAAATGCCAATATTCATAATGAGAATAATTATCCACTTGTATTTACATAATTGTTTTTTTTCTTTTTTTAATAATTATTTGTAACAAAGCACTTTCAGTTGGAAATGAGATTGTTTAAACATAAGTGAGTTATATGCAGAACCTAGGTGCTGAATCCCAATTCTTGAGAATTTCCTCTTTCTCCTGTTCAGTGAATACAACCTGGACCGAGGCGGCTGTGCAGAGTAGCAAGGGTGTGATGCTCAGACTGCAACCCTAACCTGACTTTCCTTTGCCAGCCTGAACCAGGTCTGCAGCTGCTGGGAGATGTTCTGTGGAGAAGGTGGGGACAATTTTGAAAGTCAGACCTCAGCACTAAAAGACAGCAGGGACATGCAAATGAGTATGTAAATAAGACAAATCACAAGTAAGCAAGTACAACAAATCACAGGAACTTTTTCTTCCTTACCTGGCGCCCCTGGTGGAGACTGGGGGAATCTGAGGGCTTCTCAGGTGCCATGTCCAAGCAATGGGAGCCACTAGGAATGAGAATGGCGGTCTCTGAGGGCCCCAAGTTGCCGGTTACACTTAGCACATGCCAGGGGTCTGTGTCCCCTGGAAAAAAAGAGAGAATGGTATATTGAGCTACAGCGAGGTAAAGGTTTAGGAGTCAGGTTCAGATGGCTTGCTTACCATTGACAAACAGCACCTGGGTGGCCCCAGGGGTCTGGCCACCATAGTAGGAATTCGTCTGGGCCACAGCCTGGGCTACGGATGAGGTTGGGAGCCCGAACACCTGCTCACATAGTTCTAGGTGGGAAGGCAGCGCTGGGAGCTGGGAGAAAGGGCATCTAGGGACCTCACAAGTGACATCTGTGGAGGAAGATGTCCGTAAGTATGGGGTATATAGCCAGCCCCCAACTCTTTTAAAATAATCATTTACAGGGTTCTCCCCGGTGATGATCAAGGCATTTCGGTGAATTCACCCTCTTATCAGTGACAGCCTCCCCCTCCCCAAATGATTAGGAGAGTGATGGAAAAAGACCCGGGTGGGGTGAGGGTGAAAGAATCTGAGAAGCAGCATGGTGGGCCCCAGGACAATGCCCTGCAAGGGATAAGAAATTAGGAATTAGAAGTGAGTTAAGCGAAGAGAGAGAAGAGACCGCATTATAAAAAAATAGCAAAGAGCATGTACAAAGGTCTAGTGGTGAGAGGGAGCCTGGAGTCCTTACAGCACAAACTGGGCCATGTTTCCCCTGCTTAAAATCCATAGCTGCCGGGTGCTTCCAGGACACAGCTAATGCAATCAGTCTCATGTCAATTCAGGCTTTCCATCACGATTTACTAAGCACCCACTGTGTGATCAGGTAGATGTTGGACAATTTTGGGAACACAGTGACAACCAATCTCCCAGGCTCTGTTATCACAGGACTCATAGTGAGGGAAACAAGCAATAAAGAGGAGAACGTGGACTGATGGAGATGCGGAGTAAACTGAAGGGAAGGTAAGTAATCAAAGCAACATGAATAGCCTGTACAAAGTTCCTGAACTGTTAGGAAGACTGGGTTATTAGAGGGTCAAAATATGTAAAGTTTAATAAAAATAATGATCAAGCACTTATAGGGTATTTACTGAATGCCAACTTTATTTCTTAGCAGGTTATATATATTACCTCCTCTAATCCTCAACATCTTATTAGAGAAGTAGTACTTTTATTTCCATTTTATGGATATGGAAACCAAGGCAAAGAGCACTTTAACTCACCTGCCCTCAGCTCTAGTAGAGGGCAGAGATATGCCCAAGTTTGCTCAGGATCACATAGTTACAAAGTAATGGAACTGGAATTTGAAACTCTGGCTTTGAACCCTTTCTTCACTGCTCTCTGGGGATGTGGAAAGGATTTGGAACTTAACTCTGGGGTAGGGTGGAAAATAAAAATATAGGCTGCCCAGTTAAAGCTGAATTTCAGATCAACAAAACACTTTTTAAAAAAAGTATAACTATGACCCCTGCAACACTTGGGACACACTTATACTAAAAAAAAAAAATCTATCTGAAATTCAAATTTAAGTGGGCATGCTATATTTTATTTAGCACCTAGGAAGAGGAACTATTGAATGACAAGGTCATATTTAGAAAGATTTCTGTGAATGTGGTGAGGAAATTGGCTTCTATGGGTTAAGTGAAGGCCTAGAGAGACTGAAAAGAGGAGACCAGAGGGGTGAGGAATTAAGCATCAAGGCAGCAGAAGGCAGGACAGTGAGGCTGATGGTCCTATGGGGATGAAATTGAGTCCAAACCAGCTCTGAGTTGGCTTGTCTGGGCAAAGCACACAAATATGTTTGGGGGTGAGGGTTGGGCCAGTCACTCACAAAAGCCAAACTCAGTACATGTCTGGTACAACCACTGCCGGTCACCCACGCCGAACACTTGAGGTTCTGTGACCCTCAGCTGGGCAACAGCCTCTGCTCTGGAAAAGCTTAAACATCTCTGGCCCAGGCTGTGTGTGAAAACCTAGGGGACAATATACATGCACACATACATTCCCACCTCCCAACATGCCAGGGCATGGAGGCACAGGCCCCTCCCTACATGTGAAAGGTCAGAAAGCATAAGTGAGCTCCCCTGAGAATCAGCAGTTAGAAGGGAGTGGGTGGCCAGGCCCCTGGAGGTTAGAGGTTAAGGAACTAGATGACTGGAACCTTATTACCTGTGAGACCTTATTGAAGATCTTTCGGACCTCATTTTCTTCATTTGTTATAGTATCTACCTTACTATAGTTATAGTTCTATCTTCTAGAACTATCGTGAGAATTTAATGAAATAATACATGTGAAGCACAGCACTGAGCCCAGTCAGTGCTGGACAAGTTAACAGCTGAATTGTAAGGATTCAGAGGCCGGGGATCCCGGTCTTTAGAACTGTCTCCAGGGCTGAATTTTCAAATTCATTCTAGAAACACGAATCAAGCGCTTGCTTTGTCTTCACAGACCAAGACAAGAACAACAGATAATAATCCTAGTCGCTAAGGCCCTGTGTGATGCCATCCCCATTTTACAGACGAGGAGCGTACTGCTCAGAAAGGGGGCGCGCTTGCCCGCGTCACCCAGAGGAGGTGGCGCCGGAGCCCCGGGGTGCGGCCTCCCCCGACGGTGCTCCGAGGTGCTCACCTGCACCGCCCGACGGAGGCCGTGGTAGGGCGCGGGGCGGCTGCAGTTGCCCCCGGCCCCGACGAGGAGTCCGCAGAGCCGCCGCACGCTCAGCGGCGCTCCCGCCTGCCCGTCGTACTGCACCGCGCCGCCCACCAGCGCCTGCAGCGCGCCCAGCAGCTCCGCCCGGTCCTCGACGGCGTCCAGGGAGCCGCAGGCGCCCAGCTCCGCCCGCAGCGCCGCCCGCGCCGCCCCGCCCGCGCGCAGCCGCCGCTCCACCTCAGCGAAGGCCGCCGACGTCGCCGCGAGGCACTGCGGGGAGCGGGACGCCGCGTCGGGGAGGACTCGCGCCCGGGGCTCAGCCTCCCGCATCCCGCGCGCGCCCCGTTCTCCCCCGGCCCGGCACGTCGCGGGCGGAGTCGAACCCTGGCCCCGCCCTCCGTTAGGCTCCGCCCATTTCTGCACACGCCCATTGTCAGGCCCCGCCCCTTTCTGCCCCGCCGCCCGCCCCGTCGGGCTCCTCCCGCCGTCAGGCCCCGCCGCCCATTATTAGACACGCCCACTATCAGGCCCCGCCCCTTCCGGCCGGCCGCCCCGCCCCGTCGGGCTCCTCCCATTGTCAGGCCCCGCCCCTTGTCCTCTCCGGCCTCCTTCCTCAATCCCACCGCGTTCCCGGGCTCCTGAGCCTCACTCCCCGCCACCCGCGGGCCTCAGCGTCCCTCTGGCCGCTTTCCCAGAGCTCCTCCCCTACCCGCTTCGACCCGGGTCCACCGCCTACCTCCCGGGACCCGCCGATCGCCGGGGTGCTGAGGCTGCGGGACACCACCTGCCGTCAGAAAGGGGTGGGGGGCGGCTGTCAAGGGACCCGGCCCCCGAGGTCCCCCGCCCCCGCCCCCCGTCCTCACCTCGTTGTACTCGGAGAAATCCAGCACCGCCCGCAACGGGGCGGACGAGGCGACGGAGGCGAAAATGAGATGCGGGAACTGAGGGAGGAGAAATCGTCAGCCTGGGGCCGGGGAGATGGGACCCCGAATCTTCCCGCCCTTGTGGCATTGGTGGTGTGGCTGCAGGCACGTCCACACCTTCCAGGCCTCGGGCTGTCGTGGAGAAAACCTGCGGGAAACTTTTCTGGGCGGGCGGGGGGGGGAAGGTTATAGAAAGAGGTTTTCCCTTTATCTGAGAGGGGACCCCGGACTCCCTGGAGTCCAACTTCCCCCTCCCCAGCCCGCCCCCAGGAGTCCCGGCGACCTTCAACCGAGCCCAGGCAGCCAAGGAACCGGCGTAGGAGCCTCCGAAGCAGATCCAGGGGCTGGAGGAGGAGACGTTGAAGAGGCGGGAGAGTGCGAGGCGGGCGGAGACCACATCTGCCAGCCTGGGGTCAGAGGGGAGGCTCGGTCGGGCCTCCGGGAATCTTTAAAGATCCCCCCCGTTATACGCGCGGGGGGAGGGGTAATCCTGAGACTTGAATGGAGGTGTTTCTGAGGGCACCCCATACCCACATGCGTTGCCTAGGCTATAGGGAAGAGCCCTCGGAAAGCCTCCACTCTCCTTCCCTGCAGGATAGATGGTAGAGGGCAAAATCTCCAGGGCAGTTTAAGTGGAAATGGACAAACAGGGAAATGGTGGAGGCAGCTCAAGAAAAGACGGGTCCCTATGCTGGGTGGGTTAGAAGAGGAGACTCAGAGGCCAAAGGGAACGTTGGGGTGTGTCTAACATACTCCTTTCCCTCCTAAGAACTTGCTTTCCTCCCCAAGCTTTCTGAAATAGTTTGCATTGGTGGTATCCTATGAATTAAAAACCCTGTAATCTGTGAAAAGATTGAGAAACAGAAGCAAAGAGATAGATGGAGCATGAGGCAGAGAAAGGCAGAGCCTGCTGCAGAGGGATAGAGAGAAGCACTGAGTAGGAGGGCTAGGTCCTGTAGGGAACAATAAAGCAGGAGAGAGACTGTGGGGGCCCTTCATGGAGTAGAGGACACTGAGGAAGCAAGGGAAGGAAACATACAAATGATCTGCAAGTGCCCACTCTTTGCAGAGAGAAGAGTTCAAAGACTCGAGGCAGCAATGTGCTCATGAGTCTGGACACCGGTGAGCCCCTGAGTGCCTGAAGCCTTGTGAATATGAGAAATTGGGGGTCAGAGTGTTAAGGGGGAGCCAGAACCCATTGGACCTTGTAGCTACTATATAGATGTTGGACTTTACTCTGAACGAGATGCGAGGCATTAGGGAGAGCTGAGATCTGTCTTATGCATCTCTCTGGCTTCAGCTGGAGAATAGACTGAAGGGTCAAGGACAGAAATGCCGAGACCAGAGGAGAGGCTATGGTCATAATTCAGGTAAGAGATCCCAGCAGGCTGGGCCAGCAGGCCCCAGTGAAACAGAGAGAGGGAAGATTACCATATAAGAGATAGAGCTGGGAAGGGACAGGGATCCAGAGATGGAGAGAGAAAGAAAAAGATACTGAGAGAGAAAGAAGAAAACATTTGCAAGCAGAGAGACTCAAGGTCAAGGCAGTGGAGGAGACAGAGAGGCAGGGAAACCAAGACACAGACTGCCCCAGTCTTGTGACCCCCACATTCCTTATACCCACTCACGCATGGCGGCTGGACAGGAAGCGGAGTTGGGCCATATCCAGGCCCCCAGGAGGTATACTCAGGCCATAGAATCTGTGCTCCAGGCCTATCACCAGGGCCCCCCAAGTTGGGGCCAGCGCTGCAGGGTGCCCTGTGAAGAGGGCATGGTGGGGGAGGGTGAGCTGGGTGTAAGCCCTTATAACCCTCCAGAACTGTAAGATGCACCTCCCTTGCCCGGCCCCTCCCCCACCTGCTTCCCGGGTATGTCTTTCCCCACTCTTGCATCTCACCTCTCATCACTGAGCCAGGCCCCAGGCTGCCCTCACCGCCCAGATGCAGGAACACAGGTCCATCCTGGCTGGCCCAATACTGGTCATTGACCCAGTACCGCTGAGACATGGGATGGGGAAGAAGAATGTATTCCAAGTGGTTCAGACAGATTCTTTTTGTTCCAGTACCACCTCCTAATGGATCTTTATGTGCTTAGTATGTGAAATAGGCTGACTTATGTATGTATTCATTTCTCTTTGTCTCCACGTCTAGAATGTGAGATCTACAAGAGCAGATATTTTTGTCTATCTTTTTATGCTTCTATCCCCAAGATCAAGGATAGAGGCTACCCACACGGTGGGCACTTGCTGTTGAAATAATTAATGATTGTAGAACAAATAATGAAACCAGGGACTTAGAAGTATGGTCTAGATAAGATGATCTTTGGAGAATGGATCAAAAAAGAATGGAAAACAGTAAATTAGTTCATTCATTCAATCAATAATCTTCAAGTGTCTGTTGTGAGCCAGGTCTGGTTCCAGAGCTGATCAATATTTTTGCTACACAGTGAGACTTGGCGGTGGGTTTAATGTCCATTCTGAAGGACAGGGAAGAGGAAGGACTGAGGGACAGAGAGAGTGAGAGTGACTAACAGAGAAGGAAAGACTGAAAGACATGTCCCGAGGAACAAAGGAAGTGGGAGACTGAAGTAAGAGAGGGAAGGCTAGAGGATGGAGGGGTTAGGCTAAGGATCTCCAGCAATGCTGACATAAGGTGAGAGTGAAGGGCAGAGAGATGGGGGGCTGAGGTGTGGAGATATGGAAAGACAGCAGAGACTATGGGACAGACAAGAGAGACAGGAGAAGGCAGGGTAGGCAGTGGACACCCCCTCTCTTGGCCTCACCTGCAGGAAGGATCGCCCATCTGATGCATTGAAGGGATCCAGTGGCTGCTCCAGCCACTTCTCTTTGGGGAGGGCCACAGCCTCGGGGCTCAGACTCAGACCCAGGCCAGAGCTCTCCTGAAACTGCTGAATGTGCTCTCTCAGGCGCCTAAGAAGGGAAGCTGTGGGACAAGGAGGGGAAGGAGTCAGGCCAGGCCCCTTAGGAGCCCCTGGCCCTCAGCCTCTCTTACCTGGAGAGGAGGACCCCCAGAGGAAAACCAGGAGCAGAAGGCCCAGCCACCTGGAAGGCCAGACCCCCATGCTCTCCAGTCTTCTGTGCAAGAACTTGGGCGCTCTATTCTCCCCACTCGCTGGAGACCTTTATCATGTCCCCTTGGCGAGGCTTTAACTTCAGGAGCTCGGGTTTCTTTTCAGACGCCACCACTCCCAGCACAGGTCAGGCTTCTGTGGGAAGCACTAACGCGGGGCAGGGATGCCAGAGTCTGTCTACAGAGATGTGCTGAGGTGGCACCTAAATATCCAATTTCTCCTCTCTCAGCCCATTGCTCTCCTTCTCTTCTGTCCTCAGCATCCCCTCACATACCGTAGTGTCCCCTTCTCTGTCCTTGCGTCCACCCTCTTAACCTCAGACTCCCCCCTCCCTTCTATGCTTTGGTCTTTCTCGTCTTCAGTCTCTACCTCAGGACCACCTCTTGCCCACCTATTCCCACTTTTCTTCTCTACCCCTCAGCAGTCCTTCGGTCCTCAGTTTCCTGAAACCTCAGTGTCTCCCTCTCCCTGCATACTCTGCCCCAAGGATCTGGAGTCCCCTGAGCATCGCAGGAGAGGAGACACTTGCTTAAAGTGACGCTGCCCAAAAGATACAACTTCCTCACTCCTCCCGCCCTTGTGTCTTCCTTGGGATTTTGTCCTTTTTTTAGACTCTCCCCATTTAGGTGAAGCGACTGCCAGAGAAAACTCTCGTTTTCTCCAGAATCTCAGGCAAGAATGAGAAGAACTTGAATTCAAAAAACTTGCATTTTTTGATCTGCATCTTCCTAGTGCCTACAAGTAGCCTGAGAGGGACTAGGACCCAAAGAAGGCGCCCTGAGGACCATCTGCTGTGTCTTTTAGGGCAGCACTTGTCTGGGGAGGGTTGTGAAGTCAAGGCAAGCACTCTGGTGTGTTCAGGTGGTAATGAGGTACAAGGTGTGGGGGGTCTGGAGCATGTGTCCAACTAGGCTAGGAGGGAGTGACACTTCTTTTTTGGGTCACTCATATTAATAGCTCTTAAAAACATAAATTCTATTGTTGACTAAACTTTCACATGTGATATTTGACTTTTGGAAGAATTTTTTTCAATGGATGCATCTCACTGTCCTTTCTACTCTACTGTGTTTACCTCAAATAGTTAGAAGTAGGCTATGTTTTCATGTTTCCAATTGAAATCTTTTCCATGGCAGAGTAGACCCCACCACAGTGCATAACCTTCAGACTTCTCCACAAATCAGAAGTGACTTGGGATGTCATCAAAAGTCTTTTTACACCAACAAGGATAAACTAGTATTTCATGTAAGTAGGTTTCCTTTGCCTTGTTAATGTGAACAGTTAATGGATTTCCTTGCATTACTAAGATTTTAGTTATAGGTCTCTCTCCACTCACTACGTAGGTTCAAATTCCAAAGCGTTTAAATTCTGATTTCCAAAAGCATAAATAGGAATGACTTTCATATGCTTTGACTACTTAATTAACCATGTAACCATGAACTTTAAGACTGAGTAATAGCTACTATCCCTCAGGTACCGACTGGTGCAGTAGCAGGGTTGGGAGTTGCGCAGGACAAGAGAGAGATTACTCAAAGTCCAAAGGGGTTGGAGTATTGAGAAGCCTAGAGGGGCTACACAGGGAAGTAATGTGCAGCCTCGATCCAAAGGCAGTCTCCTATTTATTTAGAATCAAGTTCAAAGACGGTGGATGAACAGTAGGGAATGCTAGCCTCCTGTGCAAGCTAGGGTGGAGTGACCCCGGTATAGATCCTGAGGGGCTCCATTGTTCCTGTTAGTCAAAGCATATTGCTTCTATTCTCTAGTCTTATCTAACTTTCTATTAATCTTTCCAAGTGAGGTATTTTAGCGATCTTGCTAATCTAGTCATAATATCTGCCAGCTATATTCAGCAGATACTGGTTCCCCAATAAGTTCCTCATACCAGGACTTCTGTCCTTTGGTGAGGCCGCCTGCCTGATTGCACGTTTAACTGACCAGCAAGAACTCAGGACACCAAGACAACAGCCCCAAGAACAAGGAGGGTTGGGGATCCCACACTCAGGAATGTGGGTGACACAGAATGGAGACACATAAGAGGGCGGGCTTCTACTCTTGACTTTTCAAGGAGTGGGTTCCAGTGGTCTGATGCAGCAGTGTTGAAGTCAAAGTAATCTTACCTCTGTGAACACAGAAAGAAGTTCCCGGAAAGAGCTAGACTTGAGGTCTCTGCAGGCTATCCATTTCTAATCATCAGCCCCCACGTGGGTTTTATCTAAAACTGACCTGTATCAATTTTAGAACTGATATCCTGGTATCAAGTGTGCATTTTTCAAAGACTATCTCTCATATCCCCAAAAAGACACATTCTCTGGAACCTAACAAAGGTTAATCGACTTCAAGTGCAAATTCCAGGTTCCACCACAAGAAAGGCCAGAGAATTGTAAAGTAATTGAATTATTCTTCCAGATCTTTCCTGGGGTCTGTAGAAGGAAGCTTCTGTTGTGAATGTTTCTGTGGTTTCTCAGGGCAGAATCGGCGGGTTGGAGTCTATAATTTTCCGCGGAAGAGGCGGACTTCATCTCTCCTGGGGGTAGATTTCTAGTCTTGTTTCTTTTCTTTTCGCGAATGCAGGAAGGGGAAACGAAAAAACATGAAAAGAGACATTACTTGGCAGTGATTGAAAGTAACTAAAAGAAAAATCACTTTTAGAAAGGGAAAAGAAAAAATTCCCTTGGTTTTAAACAAACCAGGGAATGGCAACAAAGAGTCCACTTTCCAAAGGAAAAAAAAAAGCTGCTAGCTGGTGGCCGGTTAGCTCAGTTGGTTAGAGCGTGGTGCTAATAACGCCAAGGTCGCGGGTTCGAGCCCCGTACGGGCCAGCAGGTGCTTCTTTTTACATTTGCATAACAGCCTCACCACAAATTTTGAACTGTATATTGTCTTCTTGTCTTGATCCTCAGCAGTGATACCTTCTTTGTCCTCCTCTCCAAAAGGCGGGGGTGAGGTGGGGGTGTGGGCAGAAAAAAAAACACTTGGGGGAGAAAAGCGATGTAAATTCTCAAATACATATTTTAGTAAACAAAATGAGGATAAAGAGTAGAGATGACCTTGGAGGGTGAGATGTGCATCTGCCCACCTGCGGGTCAAGTTTCCTTGTCCCCTTCCCAGCCAGAGTCAAGTCCACAGAATCTCCGTGTGGCCATTTCGTGGTTCATTTACCTGTATGCCACCTCCTCCCCTGCACTGATTTTTCAACATTTTTCAGTATTCTTTATTGTTAAGACTATCACCAGGGAACACATGCATATTTATCTTTCCTTTTAAAAAAACCTTTTTTTTTTTTTTATTAGCAATTGGGTTCCACCAGAATTTCTGTCCAGAAGGACAGATTTTTTTTTTCTACTTTGGGATCTTGAGGGCAGAAAACAATTCTGAACACAAAGTAGGCATATTTGTGGTGTTTGAAGCCTCGCCATCAGTATGTTTTAAAATGTCGGGATTTTGTTTGCCAGACCTGATTAATACTCTTATATAAAACAACCAAAGTCTGTCAAAGTCACCATTTATGGCAAAACAATGTGGTTGTAAAAAAAAAAATAAAGAAATACAAATAAATAAAATAAATAAATATATAAATACTAAAACCAAACCAAACCAAAATAATGCGGTTGTAAAATTCACATTATTATAGAGAATACATAAGAATTTCAGAAATGAAAAATAAACGACAAATATATTCCAGGGAAAAATGAAATTTAGTCATAACAGAGTTGACATCTGAGTAAGCATGTCTAAAATACCAGTCTCAAGTTTTCTCTAATAAAACTGCTTTACATTCAGTCTTCCCTGTTTCAGCTAATAGCAGCTCCATCTCTTCAATATTTTCAGCCAAAAAATCTCAAGTCCTCATTGATTCCAGTTTCTCTTACTCCTCATTTCTATGCTCTCTGATATTTCTCTTGATCCAATCTTTAAAATATATCTAGATTGTGACTACCTCTCACCACCTCTACTGCCACCATCCTGTCCAAGTCAGTCTTGGCTGATGTGTAGCACGATGAAAGGGATTTAATAAATCGCTTAGCTTCCTTTTTTTTTTTTTTCATACAAAATGTCCCTCACAGAGTTGGGACGGGGACCCTTTTAAAAAACTGGAATCATGTCAGGCACTTCAATGCTTAAAATCCAATGTATTCTCATTTTATTAGGGTTTAGGCCAAAGTCCTTAAAAAATGACCTAACCAGCTGTGGGAAAAACAAACAACAACAAGCAAGCATAAAGACCACTGTGCTTGAAAAAATAGATAAAATAAATGTCCAGGGTTTCCCTAGCCGCGCTTCCCCTACTTCCTCCTAGGAACAGAATGGGTGCTGGAGAGTGAGTTCATTGCTAAAGGCCAGCGATCCATTCAATCATGCCTAGTAAGTGACGCCTCCATAAAACCCCAGGATGTCCGGGTTTGGAGAACTTTTCCAGTTGGTGAACTTGTGGAGGTGCCTGTAGATTGGCTCCTCTGGAGAGGGGAGAGAAGAGAAGCTGGGGCCCCCTTCCCCATAACGAGCCTTATACATCTCTTCCATTTGGCTCTTCCTGAATAACAAATGCCTTTTTATGATAAACTAGTGCCTACCTACGGTGGAAGATTATGGGTGTCTTGGTGGTGGGTGTGGTGTAGTAACATAAAAGTGAGTAGGAGGAATCCTATATTTCTGAGTCATACACAGTGTTGTAAATCAGTGTTATATTAATATAAAAAATTGAAAATTAAAAAAGAACAGCTATTTGAAAAAAAAAAATAAACTAGTATCTTTTAGGGAAAAAAAAGTCCAGAACTGCGAAAGTGACGATTTGAGGCGTGTTTAAAATACAGACTCAGAAATTTTGTGCAATAAATACAGGCTCTACTGGGGGGAAGAGAAACGAAGGATCTACTCGGGGGAAAAGACACAGAAAATAGTTATGGGTGTTGTTTCCGCCCGGTTTCGAACCGGGGACCTTTCGCGTGTTAGGCGAACGTGATAACCACTACACTACGGAAACCAATTTATTACCAAGCTCTTACTTCCCTGAATTTGTTAAAATTAGTCTTGATGCAGCTATTCTTGGTGGAGGCATGATTTTTCCATCTGCACTTTGTGATTTTCCCAGTAAATGTCTAAATTTGATAACTCAGAGCTAACAAATGCGACTCTCAGAGCTTCAAATACTTCACAAGAAACAGGCAGAGAAATCTCAGGCAGTCTCTTGGGAATTTTACTTCAAGAAATTTCTGATATGATCTCCACTCATTTCTCTGACTTGTAAGACTCTTTTATCTTCATCTTTCGATGATCGAAAATAAGCCTTTAGGAACTAGAACCGACTGGCTGAGCTCAGGGGACAAGTCTCTCCAGCAAGGCCACAGTCTCCCAAGGAGAGTGAAGGACAGAGGGAGGGTGGTGGACGGTGCCCAGGTGTCAGACAAGCGAGGGTGATAAGAGTGACGGGGGACCCTGAGAAAGTGGAATCAGCCGATCTAGGTCCACTAGAACTTCTTTTTCTGTTGTGTACCTCTCGTTTTTACTGCTCTGGAAGGTGTAAACTTGGAGCCTAATGGCCGTTAACCTGTCTTCTAGCAGAAGATGACCATTGTCTTAAGTCACTCTCCTTTCCCAGGTAGCACAGGCGATCTGCCTTCTACCAGATTCTTAAGGCTGAGCCTCCACAAAGTTGCTCAGTACTTACCCCCAAAGTGGTGGTGAGCAACGAGAGATAGGAAACTCCCTCTGTGGCAGGTAAAACATGGAACAGATATTGAACAGAGTTTTTCTCTGTCCTCAGATCATAAAGACGTTTTTTTCTACATATATTTGTACTATTTTTTATTTAGGCATTTCACTCTTCAGAAAAGCCTATTTTTATAAACTATACAGATGATTCTCCTCTATGTTAAAAATCACAACAGAATAATATAAAAGCCCTTGTTCTTTCTTGCACTCACTATTTACTCCTCCCAATTCAGTTCTGATCCAAGCACTGACAGTCCCAAATTTCCCTCATCACACAAAGGCAAGGATTCTCAGGCCATCTCCTTGCCCATTGGCACAAATATTTACAAAACCAGAGACAAGAGCTGTGCGCCAGATGGGCCCATGAGTGAATGACACATTCTTTCCTCATGACTTAATCAGGAGGACATATGTTTGTCAAAGTGGTGAGCTCTGTGCATTACCAACAAGGGCTGGATTCCTGTATGAGTGGTTTTTAAGTCTGGGGAGAGTTGTCTCTGCAACCATTCATGCTTATGTGGTACCACGCACACCACCCTCTCATATTGCAATTCTTTGCCCAGGTCACCAAAACAACAGAAGATGGTTCTCAGTGGTGTTTTAGGGTATTTATAAATCAGTTCTACTTCAAACCTTACTTCAGGATTTAATTTCATCACTGGTTCCAGAAACCTTCAGAGACTTTCAATACAATACCGCAAATATCCACCAGGGACCTGCTTTAATGAGTTCTTATACAACTCCCCACCCAGTCCCTGTGTATCTGGGATATTACTGACTTGGTAGCTGATGTACACATGGCTGAGTGTCTGTACACAGTAGGTCCTCAGGAAAGAGATTTCATTAGCAGATAGAACTCTTGGTTAAAATATAATTAAAACCCTAGTGCACTAGGGTTTTCCAAATTTACTGGGGGGCAGGGGGTGGGGGGATGGAGAGTGGGGTGGGGGGGAGCTTGTCTCCTCAATATTAGCTACCCTGAGGTTACAGTCTCGAAGTGCTCACAGGGCAATCAGATTCAATGAGTTTGGAATGAGGGCTTAGATTCAGTCCTAAAACAGTGTTCTCTGATGAGGAATATAGAAGATGTAGATAACACCTTTGTAGAGTTATGAGCAATCTCCTGCCCTTATTACTCCATCTCTTCTCTCCTTTGGTTTTTCTTTCCAGAACCACTAAAAGAAGGGTCTTCTCCTGAGCGTAAATGGTGATCATGACGAGTCTCGATTGGAAAACGGGGTATTCCTACAGCACTCTGTGCCCTTTCTCTCTTTTTTTTACATGCCATCCTCATTTTAATGCAAATCCGTGAAATCAGGGAGGGTGCCGTCAGAAAGCTCGTGTTAAAAATAAACTTTTTCATTAGATTTCGCCAACAAGCATTATAAAGATCTGTTTCTGCTCTACATTAAAAAAAAAAAAAAGAATCCCGGTCGCGGATTCCATGGTTATAAAATTATCCATAATGTTCCAGACTGGCAATTCTAACTAACCTAGTAATAGTTGATATTTCGGCGAGTACCCACCACCGGGATGGCCGAGTGGTTAAGGCGTTGGACTTAAGATCCAATGGACGTATGTCCGCGTGGGTTCGAACCCCACTCCCGGTAGGGAGGTTTTCGTGGGTATTTTAACTAGCAAAAACAACTAGTTAAATCAGTATTTGTAACAGCTGGATTTTAGTTTCCTTTGTCCAACCTGACAAATTCTGTCTATAGTTAGTGACGTTCGGTAATAACTGATGAGTTGATTGTATTAAAGTCTCAGTTGTTTTCTGTATTTATGTTGTTCTTTGTTCCTCATCTCTTTCTTTGAAATAAATATACGAGCTTTTTCTTGATTTAATTTTCTCTCCACTAGTGCCTTATCAATTACTTGTCTTTGATAGGACAATCTTTAGTAGTTCTCTGTAGGATTTTTTATGTACAGCTATAATTAATAAAATTCTACCTTCAAATATTAAGCTGTTTCCTGTGCAGCGAGAAAACTTGCAACCATATATTCCCTCCTGTATTTTGTGTTATTGTCATTATACATTTTGCTTTCATGTATCCTGTAGACGCACAATAAACATGTTTACTACTATTTTTTCTTTATGCAATCAATTATTTTTAGCGTGATTAAAACTGGGGGAAAGTATTTCTTAATTATACCTTCACTGTAATCGTTTTTGTGGATATTCATCTCCCTGGCTTCACATTCCTTCTTCCTGAAAGACTTACAACATTTTCTATTGGGGAGGTCTGCTAGTGTTGTAGAGCAACCCCGATACAAAACGGGGTGCCTGTGGGTCCTCACCCGTGCTCATTTCCCCCTAACACTAGTTATACTCTCTTTAGTTTTTGTTTGTCTGAAAATATATATTTCTGTTCATTTTTGGAAAAAAAATTTACTGAACAGAGAATTCTGGGTTAACAGTTTGGTTTAAAAAAAAAAAACAGTTTGGTTTAATTTTTGGTCTCTCAGCACTTAAAAATCTGTTCCATTTTCTTCTGGCAATACCTAATTTCTGATGAGAAGTCTGCTGTAGTTTATATAGAAAATATATATTGAAGTACATATTACCTATAGCTGAATGTTTCAACTACAGGTAATATGTATTTTGTTGATGGACTGCTTTATGGAACCAATTTCAAGTCAAACAGACACCATCTTGTTTCTAACTGCCAGAGCAAGAGTAAAAAGAGTAAAAAGAGTAAAAAGTAAGATTAACTGAACTCATCAGCCTGACTCAACTCCTTATCAGCGACAACTCCTTATCAACTCCTTATCACCCACTCACTGATTTCTTCTTATCAATGACTATGAAAGAACATCAAAACCTGCCTTCCACTTAAAGATGATTAGGAAAGACACAGGAAGACCATCCCTTAATTATTACAAAGACCCCTTATTGAAACATCTGTTCAAAGTCTCCTGTTAACCAATCCAAGAATTCCAAATGATCTAATCTTAGCCAGAAGCCCTCCTCTGCTGATTTTTAAAAAAATTCCCTTTGCCCTGTTCCCTCACTGCCAATGCTTGAAGATTAAAACCAACCTATCAACCTTCATGCAAACAAGGGCTAAGTTTCAGAACTCTCCCGGACTATGAAGAGATTGTGGTTAGTGGGCTGGAAGGAAGAACTTTCCCTGCCAGGTGGGGGATGGGGGGCTAAGGGGCTGGAGGAGCAGGGAGACCCACAGTTGCCCAGTTTGGAGAAGGATGTAAGGGCTGCAGGGAAGGGTGCTTAGGGATAAACAAGGTGGGTGGGCCAACAGAGCTCAGGGTAAAAATCTGTGGCGAAAAGCTGAGAAGCACAGCAGTTTGTGAGAATTACATTTTTTGATTTAGTAGTAAGAAAGGAGAAGAATGCTGTGAGGAGAATTTGAACCTGGGTAGGAAGGGTCAGTGGATTTCAAATCCAACACATTAATCACTCTGCCATCATAGCCTGACTTAAGTGGGCTCCTAATACATTTGAAAAACCATTCATAAAAAGGATCCTGCCTACAATAATTTGTCAAAGTTGGCCACAGTGTTGGCAATGTGCCAATGTTACTTCTCTCTTCATTCAAAATGGACTCAATTCTGGGATTCTTTTCTGCTCACTCAGATCAAGTACATGATCAAGGTATCATGAGGGTTGGTTTCTGGTGAGACCTTACTTTCTGGCTTCTGGATGGCCATCTTTTCATGGTCCCCACTTGGTCTTCATGTCTGTGTGGAGAGAGAAATCTCTTGTCTCTCTTTTTATAAGGGTACCAGTTCAATTGGATTAGGGCTCCACCCTTATGATCTTAATTAATGTTAATTACTTCCCTGAAGTTACTATTTTCATATATAGTCAGTCACACTGGGTGTTAGGATTTCAACAAATACATTTTGAGGGGACATCATTAAGTTCATAACCAATTGGTCAATGAAGTGACAACATTTGGCTTCTGTTACCCTGTGATCCAGTCATCTCCACTGTGTTTAAGGAAGCCACTCAAAGGTAGACACTCAAAGGTAGACTACTCAAAGGTGGTCTACAAAGAAGAGCCACCATGGAGCAACTCAAAGATGCTGAGTTTCCCTTCATGAATTTATTTCTCAGAACATCAGTGAAAGTTAGTTCTAGAGAATTCCATGGTAAATCCATTCAAGAATTTCAGTTCCTTCAGACTTTAGATACTTTGTTCTGCCTTGGAAATACAGATATTGCCATTTCATTTTGTTGGATCACTCAAACTTTGGATCCAGATATTAATTATGTATTAATTATAAAATTTTAGTTAATAAAAAAAATAGAGCTATTTTCAGCACCTAATTGAACATTGAGTTAGAACATTGAATCAGATATCTCTGTCCACTAAGACCCTATCAGTGAATTTGGTTTGATGCAACTTTATCTTCCACCTTGCTCCTATGCCCTTAGGATCCGTTCTGTTCAAAATCACCAGGTTTCCATCACTACAAATTGGCAAAATCATGCAATTCTTTTGATGTCTATCACACTTCTTATTGGATTACACTTTGTACTTGACCCTCTGGGGTTTCACAAAGGGGAGAGAGGGTGGTTAGATTCTGAAGATTCTCAGCAAGACAACTACCTCAGAGAAGCCATTAAAACCTCCTCAGAATATATTAACTTCTCAGAGTGAATGGAAGGGTTACTTCTATGATTAGCAATTAGAATCTGGAAATGTAGAATAATTTCCTTAAATGTGGCTGGGAGAGGTGATAGCTTCCACCTTCCAAGCTTATTATATTCCAGAAAAAAAAGTTTTCAATCGTCCTGATTTTTAGCAAAAATCCCTGAATAAATGAGACCCATATATCACTAAATTATCATATGGTCTCCTTTCCTTTGCTACTATCCTATCTTTACCCATTCCCCAAGATAGGAACCTAACTTTTACTTGAGTCAGTTCATTTTTTCACAAAACACAAAGCCCTGTTCTCAGTCTGAGTCTTGTCAAGAGCAATGGTATCAGTTAATTTTTTTTTTTGCCAAATATTACAAACTTGGTGGTATATATTCCTTATATATATATTTTTGCTTTCATTTCATGTTTCCACTTTTTCTATGAAGGAAGCAGCATGACATCCATGAGTGAGATGACTTATATAACCTTATCTTGATTCTTGTGTGTGCTAGTTATAAGTTTCTGCAATAAACCAATGGAACAAAGATATCATCACTCTATAAGGAAGAATGATTACTAGGCTCTGAGTTACTTGGCTGCAGACTGTATCTTTTTGCATTTGTGTTCTGTACCAGAGACCGTAGCATTCTCTAAATATTCCCCTATATTTTCCAGAAGTCTGTTAGTTGGAGACACATGACCACTTTCAGTCAATTGTCTGCAAGTGACAAATGAGGTTATGTATGGCAGAAAATGTTGATGGTTTCCCACTGTCTCTTGAGCGCAGGCAGCTCATTTCTTGTTTCCCAAGAGCCATTTTCTTTTTTTAAGAGATAAGAACCAGGGCTTGTTGCACAGAGAAAGGAGTGAAGACTGCATGCGTAGATCATACCCCTAAGCTTTGATAACCATTTCAAAGTACATGTAAGTCAAATCATTACGTTGTACACCTTAAACTTAAACAGCACTGCATATCAAGCATATCTCAATTAAACTGGGAGGGGGAGGCCCCACATTAATTCTGCACACACAAAAACTCTCTAGGATGCACGCCTCGAATTTGTACAAGAATTGGAATCCTGGGTGAAGCCTTGAATTGGTTATGAGGCTTTACCTTTTTTTCATCAATGAAAAGAAAAAAGGGAAAGAAATACAGTACAGTTGTTGGTGGGAGTGCAAACTGGTCCAAACACTATGGAGAGCTGTATGGAGATTTCTTGACCTACTAAACATAGAGCTTCCATATGATCCTGCAATTCCACGCCTAGGTATTTACTCAAAGGACACAGAAACATCAATTCCAAAGAGCACCTGCACCCCTGTGTTTATAGCAGCACTGTTTACAATAGCTAAGCTTTGCAAACAACCCAAATGCCCAAAAATAGATGACTGGATCAAGAAGATGTGGTACATATGCACCATGGAATATTACTCAGCATTCAAAAAAGATAAACACATGCAATTTGCAGCAACATGGATGGCGCTGGAAGGGATCATGCTCAGCGAAATAAGCCAGAAAGAAAAAGAAAAATACCGGATGGTCTCACTCATAGCAGGAATCTAGCAAACTTAAATAAGGGACCAGGAAAATGAATAACTATAAGAAAGTGAAAATCAAAATCAACAAAAAACTATGAACCATATACACTCTATGGGGGGTGGGGAGGCGGGAAGGGGAGGGATTGGGGTCAAAATAAGGGGGTTGCAATTGTATGAGGAATATAAAAATAAAATTTATTAAAAAAAAATACAGTACA